CTACAAAATTAAATATTAAAAAATCAGAACATACATAATTAATTAATTTATTCATTCACACATTTTTTTGTTATTAAAAATTCTTTTAAAAAATTACAAAAAATATTTTTATCAAATTTTGGGAATTTATTTAATTCAAATAAATTATTTTCTTCTTCAAAAAATAAAATTTTTTCCAAATTTTCAGGAATTGTACAAATTAAATACCCATCTTTTTCCAATTGTTTAGCTAATTCTAATTGGTGATTATTCATTAAATTGTTGTTAATTATTGCAATAAAAGGCTTTTCTAATTCTAAAACTTCCAAACAAGTACCGGCACCGGCATGTCCAATTATTAAATTGGCATCTATTTTTAATAAAAGAAAAAAAGTTTTTAATGAGTAAATAAGAAAAAATATTTGAAAAAATATTTTTAAAAAAAATTTAAGCCTAATACGAAGCCTAAGCCATTTCAAAAACCATAAGGCGACTATTTGCCAAGCAGAGGTCGATCGGAATTCCGATTTCCGAAAAATTAGGCTGATTTCCGAGTTCCGATTTTTGAGCCATTTCCTATAGTTCACAAGGAACAATATCGAACTGTCACCAAAAATTTCGTAATAATTTTTATACCATCGTGTATAGCATAGTCGAAACCATATTGTAGTACTTTTCTTTTTCGGCCCTACCCCCCATTTCGAAAAGTTATAGGGCTTCAAAGTTTTCGACTTTTGGAGCGGTTGAGTCGCCCTCAAAAAAAGAGATTTTTCTTTTAATAAGGGGAAAAATAAGACTCCCATCCTCCTTTTTCCTTTCCTTTTCTTTTCCACTAGTAGAAAAGAAAGAGAAAAGGAGGAGAGAAAAGAAAAGGAAAAGAGGCATCTCTGCCATCTCCTCTTTCGTTTTTAATCCGCATTGGGTGAAAGGCAGAGTAGCCTTTTCCCTTGTTTTTCTCTTTCCTCCTTTTCTCTTTCTTTAACAAACATGGGAAAAGAAAAGGAAAGGATAAATGGTGAAAAGGAGTCTCATTTTTCTCCTTAGGAAGCAAATAATAAGAAAAGTGAGGGCGACTCAACCGCTCCAAAAGTCGAAAACTTTGAAGCCCTATAACTTTTCGAAATGGGGGGTAGGGCCGAAAAAGAAAAGTACTACAATATGGTTTCGACTATGCTCTACACGATGGTATAAAAATTATTACGAAATTTTTGGTGACAGTTCGATATTGTTCCTTGTCAGATTTCCGGCACCTTCATCATTTCCGATCGACCACTGTTGCCGAACCCCCCACATAGAAGAGCAGTTTCCTCTCCCCTATCTTACAATGTGTACCCAAGATACTGGAACGGGTAAGGAACTGAACCTCAATGGATCTTCCATATTTCTTTAAATTTTTAAAATTTCAATTTCAAGTACTAGAAAGGATTTAGAAAGTAACAAGGAAAATTGGGGAAAACTGAAATAAACAGGAAGATGATCAATAATTGTCATTCCGAGTTTACCCATAACCTCCTTGAAAAAAGCTGTAAAAGATTGAACTGGAACGGGCCCCGTCCATTCTTTATCTTCTTTGTTTAGAAAACCCTTTTTGAAATATTCAAACATAAAAATACCTTCCATTTCACTTCGAATTGAATCCTTATAACGAAATAGTTCAATCTAAAAATAAATTTAATAAAGTTATCTGCAAACTTTTGTGGACAGAATTTTAATCAATCTACAGCAATAATCACCCTTTCTGTCAAAAATTCGAGAATTAATCACTTCAATAATTTGCGGACAAAAATTGCGGATTTTATAAAATACAAAACTTTAAAAAATTTCCCTCAAAAATATTTTTGAAAATAAATCTGACGTTTAATTTAAGGCATAATTCACGTCTTATCCCCAAAAAATTCTCACAAGGGAACCTTCCGAACTGTCAGTAAAAATTTTTAAATAAAAATTATACCAACGTGTAGAGCGTAGTCGATAACCTATAATGTTTCCGGCTTTTTTGGCTCCGACCCCCATTTCGAAAAGCTATAGGGCTCTAAAGTTTTCGACTTTTGGAGCGGTTCCCTCATTAAAATCGAGTCTCCCTCATCAGGTTATCGACTACGCTCTACACGATGGTATAATTTTTATCTGAAAATTTTTACTGACAGTTCGGAAAATTCCCTTGTCAGAAAGTTAAAAAAATTCTGTCCACAAAAAAAAAATTTAAAAAAAACCTCAATTCCAACAATTTTTCCTTCCCAAATTTTTTCTCCTTCTTTTTTAAAACAATTTAAGCATTCAGGTATTTTCCCATTTCCATTTTGTATAATTAATTTGTCAATTCCAATTTTTAAAAAATTTTGTAAAAAATCCTCATTTAAAATAGTAAAAATTAATTTTTCGAATTGAGTACTTCCAACAGTCACAAAACATTTTGACGACATTTTCTTCCTTTAAAATTTAGAGGAATACCCAATTAATTCTTCGACTGGTTCGTATAGCCAATTATCTCTTCTTGTTATTAAAAGTTGATTTTGAATAAATGCGAGGGCACGTTCGTGGGCTTCTTCAAAATTAAAAAGAAAATTTATTGGAATTTTTGAAGGTTTTTAAAGGTAAAAATCGGGTTAAAAAATAAATTGAGGTTGAAAATACTCAAAAATAATTTTTAAAAATTTTCTAGCGTCAAATTATTAAATTTTGAAATAATATCAATGAATGGGATCCGAACCCGAGACCTATCAAAAAATGAAAGCCTAAACCTTTCCCACTACACCGAAAAACAACAAACTCGTTTGAGCTTGAAAATTGCATCTTTCAGTGATTGAAAGAGTCAAAAATAGGGGTTTATCGATTCTTGCAAAATCTTCAGATACCCCGACAGATCCAAAAAAATGGGAAAAAATTTTTCAGTTCAGCTTGGTTCGCTTCGAAAAGCTTAGTCTTAAAGTCTTTCAGAATTGGTTTTCATCTTTTGAACTATATCTGTGAATGAGGTACACCCCAATCTACAGCCGAGTTATAACTTCGTTCAAAATTACTGAATACGGGACGCTTATTTGTTAGTAAAGTTTGATTCAGCTGATCGAAGAAAATCGAGCCATACCAGGACGCCTAAAATTCGACAGTTTTGAACAAAGTTATGGCACGGCGGTACACTAGCCTGCTTACCCATAAATGAAAGGTAGGGGGGGGGGCTATTTTTACACCCTTGGAAATTCTTGAAAGAAAAAACCTTTTTCACGCTTTGCAGAAAGTTTTTTCACAACAGCTTCGTCCTCTACTCCAGTCAAATATTTACTTGCAATACCAGCAACTTCTAGAAAAAAAGATAGAAAAAATGGTTTAAAATTAAAAAACCTTTTTTTGATGATTTTGGTGTAGATGCTTCTTTAGATACCAAAGTTATCCAATTACGTGCACTTCTTCTGGTAATTCTAACTCCGCTTGTTCCAGATGATGAATTATTGTTGTTATTATTGTTATTATTCATAAAAGTAATATCTAAAAAATTTATAAAAAATAGATGAGCCTAAATTCGGGTTAAAAATCAGGTGAAAAAGTATGGAAAATAAGAGATGGAAGAGATCGTGTCGCTCTTAAAAACTAGTTTTCAATAGACTCTAAGCACTCAATCGCGGCACCAAACAGGGCGTTCAAAAAAAGGAATTTTTGAGTCCCAAAAATCTCTGAGAATCTCTGAATTAGTCAACAGACTCATTTGGTATGTTAGTGATCTACAATTTCAACAAGTTTTTTTAGGTGAGGAAGAACAGCATAACCCAGGGACAAATGAAAATCGATATTTATTTGTAAATTTTTTGCAATTATTTTTTTTATTTATGTTGGCCTATTTCTATCTTTGATTTTTTAATTTTTATTTGTAGGAGTTATATTTTTAAATTTTTAAAAATTATGGCTGATAATCATATTGTTGGAGGTTCCCCGTCATCTTCAGTTTCTAGTTCGGCACCTTCTATAGCGGATAATGTCAACACTGTCTTTCTGGTCGGTTCGATCTCACTGCAGCAAGCTATCGATTCGATTTTTAAATACAGGGATTCACCTGTTATAGCCGTATGATTTTACTAATTACAATTTGATTTTCAAATTTATGTAGATGTGTTCGGGATATTCGGGTCATTTGTTAGACGTATACAATCGTTATCTGCATCCTCCTGGACATGCTAGCCTGGAACTTCCTTTTGATCAAGTTATTACACAGCGTGAAGAGGAGGCACAACAGCTTGCTAATAACCGAGCGCAAGATCTTGTCAAAAGAGTAATTCCAGCAAGAGCTACAAGATTGAATAATGGACATTTTGAGTTGACGGTAAATTTTTCCAATTCTTCTAAGCTTTAACTTGACTTATTTTCAATCTCTGATTCTATATTATAGGACATCTGTGAAAAATGTGAGGATATTTCACTGGGAGACTCTGAGATTTGTCCTCACCATCAGAGTCAACACACACAAATGAAAACAACCGAATCACAACATTCAAATTGTGAGGGTGTTGGTAAAAATGTAGTAACACAGCGTAAAGCAAAAAAAGTTGTCCGTGTTGGCAATAGGAGGCGGATGATTGGCTGCCGAGTTAGATATAGTAAAGCGCTTAGGATTGGCAAAAAAATAATTTTATCGGTAAATATATATCACATTTATTGGCCTGTTTTAACTCATTTCTTTTAAAAATTTTATTTTTTAGGCTTCTTGTGAGAATGGAAATACGAGAGTTGTTGTAATTCTTTATTTTTAAGTTTTTTTTGAATATTTTTTTATTTAGTGGCAACCAGGGCCGGAACAAGCCTAAAAAAGATTGAAGAAGTTTGTGCTTGTTGATGTTTCATGGCATTGACTCTTAATTTATTTGAAAATATTGTTTATTAAAATAATCTCTTTTAAATTTTTGCTCATTGAAAAATAAATATTTGACTATTTGATTTTAAATTTAAATTGTTTCTGTGCAAATTTTTTTACTTGTTTTTATTCTTTTCAGTTGTTTAATTGATTTTTTGTTTAGAAGAAAATTTAACGTTGAAAAATGTCTAAAGGTCCGCAACATTTCATTGATGAGGCTGCAAAAGCGGTTTTTTTTTAAATTTTTTTCTCTAAATTAAAATCCTGGGTCGGATACTTGTGTTATGTTTTTTAAACAGTCCTGGGTTGATAGCGAAATATTCTGACTCAGGCTTCCAACCCCCAAAGTGATTTTTCTTTTATAGTTCTTAGGCATCTATTTCCTGGGAGAAGAAGGGATTTATAATTTAATAAAACACATTTTAAAGAATGATGACGAAGACCCGTTTTCTGAAACAAGAAGAAAAAACATTGCCGAACGTCAAAGTCAATACCAAATGCGTGCACGAAAGCGACCAATCTCCCCTGAGAGAGCTGATATGTTTGGTATTAAATTTCAATTTATTTTTTAATTTTGTTAAAATTTAGTTGATCAGACGCCTGATTTGCGTGACAGAACTTACGCCAAAATTATGCAAGAACAGTTGCTGACTGCCGAAAAGGTTTATTTTTAGAGTCCTTTTTTCTTGATAGAAAAGGGGCCAGGGCTGACGTTTTACGCAATTTTAGCGTTTTTTTAATGAAACGGTTTGAGTGAAAGAGCAAAGGAAACCCCAGGCGCTTCAAAGAGACGTTCTCGTTGGGACCTTACTCCATCACAGACATCGTTGGAAACTCCGATGGCCGGTATTGAAGTGGCCGTTCAATTCTTCCAGACCGAATGGACCATTCTGGCAACCCTAATCGTTCGGTCCGCATTCTCGGGTTTTTGGCCCCTCGGTTTTCTGCTTACTCCCTTCATACCCATCCATGTTTCAATAATTTTTCTCTAATTTTTAGGAAAAAATTGAAAAAGAATTGGTCGACAAGCATCAATCTGGCGAATTAAAAATTAACAGGCAATCTAAAGTTTTTGGCCCTGAAGCTACTCCAACTGAAAATATTGAAAACACACCTTCACAGGCGCCAAGGAAGAAAAGAATTGCTTTGAGTGGACATGCTATTACTGCTGTAAGGGTTTTTTTAATTTTTATTTTTAAGGTAGGGGAATTTCTTTAAAAATGGATGAGACTGTTTCAGAGAAAGTTGAATTGTGTTTGGATCTGATTTTCAAACTTTTCTTTGGATCTGGTTTCGGGTCAAAAAAGATTGGGTTTTGGATACCCTTACACAATCCCTTCTTTGTAGCGGCAAAAATCCAAGCCCGAATTTGTTAGGGGGAAAAATTTCGGAATTTTTATTTTATGTAGATTGTAGTGAAACGTTTAAAAGTTGTACGTCATTTTCCTAATTGGACGTCATTTTCCACATCTATCTACTTCTATTTTAATTTTTCTCTTTTAATTTAAGGATAAAACACCAAACGTTGCCCAATGGGATGAAACTCCAGCACATATTTCTGCATTAGACTCAACTCCATCAACAGATAAACAATGGGATGCCACACCTTCACAAACACCTCGTCGCAATCGTTGGGATGAAACTCCAAAGGAATCTGTTCGGGATGGAGGAATGACACCTGGATGGGGCTCGGAAACACCCAGAGACATAAAAATGGACTTGAGTGAAAGAGCAGAGGAAACCCCCGGCGCTTCAAAGAGACGTTCTCGTTGGGACCTTACTCCATCACAAACACCGTCAGAAACTCCAATGGCCGGGATTGACGCAACTCCAACACATTTTACACCAAAAATCATGCAGAATGGAGGAATGACTCCTTCAATGCTAACTCCTGGAGGAACAACACCAATTGGAACCCCAGCAATGGGAATGAAGACGCCGGCTGTTCCGTTCATTCCAATGACTCCAGAACAGGCAGCAATTTATAAATGGGAGAAGGAAGTAGATGATCGGAATCGTCCATTGTCAGATGAAGAATTGGATGCTTTAATGCCGCCTGGTTTTAAAATTCTGGCACCTCCATCTGGTTTATTTTTTTAAAATTTTATCTGGGTTTTGGATGCGGGGATAGGTTACTTTTTTATGTGTGGACAATCTGTTAGGAAATTTAATTAGTTTGGGCTAATTTTCGGGAATTTCTGGGGAATTAAAATAAAGTTGGAATTTGGGTCTTCACTAACTCGGAATAGACAACCACTGTTTTGCCATTAACTACCATTTTCATTGTGTTAGCCTTGTTAACTTTTGGTCTATTTTTAACCAAATTCTTCTTTTAAGGTTATGCCCCAATTCGAACACCAACAAGAAAATTATTGGCAACACCTACACCAATGTCTGGGATCGGCGGTTTCATGATCCCCCCAACACCAGAAAGAGGAGGTGCTGGGGCAGATAAAGGAGTTGGAGGAATAATAGATACTCAACCAAAAGATCCAGAATTGCCAGCACTTAAACCTGAAGATATTCAATATTTTGACAAGCTTTTGCAGGATGTAGATGAAAGTCAATTAACAAAAGCAGAAAGAAATGAACGTGAAATAATGGGTTATTTATTAAAAATAAAGAATGGAATGCCTTCACAACGAAAATCTGGATTGAGGAAAATAACAGAAAATGCTCGTCGTTTGGGCGCTGGACCTTTATTTAATCAAATTTTGCCACTTTTAATGTCTCCAACACTTGAAGACCAAGAAAGACATTTAATGGTTAAAGTTATTGATAGAATTTTATACAAACTTGATGACTTGGTTCGACCATATGTTCACAAAATTTTAGTGGTAATTGAACCGCTTTTGATTGATGAAGATTATTATGCTCGTGTTGAAGGTTTGGAAGTTTACTTTTTTGGGGGGGGGGTTTGATTTTTGTGGAGTTCTTTTGGATTATCTTTCTACCCGCTAGACGCTAGGAATGACAATAAATCTCTAACTGTTTATTTTTTAAATTGCCTCCAAATTAACAAAATCACCCGTAGATTAGAAACTCAAACATTTTGAAGCATTAATGACAATTTTCTGACTATTAGGGCTGCCGTTTTCGAGTCGGGCCGACGTTCGAGTCATTTTTTGGGCCTCAATTTTTTCGGGCCGGCCCGACCGAGTCTTTTTCGGGCCAAAATTCGTTGCCCGACTCGATCTTTCGGACCGGCCGGCAACCCTACTGGCTATTTTACCAAAATTTTCTCAGGTTTTCTGAATTTTTCAAAGTTCTGTGTTTCCCAACTCTAGCAATTTTTGAATTAACATGAAATCCGAAAATTGTTAGGGAAATATATTCAATAAAAAAATTTAACATTTAGGCAGAGAAATAATTTCAAATTTGGCTAAAGCCGCTGGACTGGCAACAATGATCTCAACAATGCGTCCTGACATTGACAATGTGGATGAATATGTTAGGAACACAACAGCCCGTGCTTTTGCAGTTGTAGCCTCAGCTTTGGGAATACCTGCACTTTTACCTTTTTTGAAGGCTGTTTGTAAAAGTAAAAAGAGTTGGCAGGCTAGACATACAGGTTTGTGTTTGTATATTTTTAATAAATTGGGGACATTGAGAGGTAAGTCTTTAGCCCTTGGCAGGCATCGATCCTCCGACAGCTATTCTATCTTCCTGGATTAAGATTTCTGTATGTGAATAAGAAATAGTGACCTAGTTTTAGATACCCTTAGAATTAGGTACAGTCTCAATTGCTAGGCGCTTTTGTTCACCATGTACAGGTTCTCTACAGACTAAAAAATGCCGGGCTTTTACTTTCTTTTTTTAAGAAAACCCCCACCCACCCCAACATAGTACCACCCCCCCTCCCCCACTCCAGCCTAGTAAGCCTTTTGAATGCTAGGCTGTAGGATTATCTTTCCTTTCAAGACGAGAATTTTTTAAGTGAATAAAAATACACAGTCGGATCTCGTTTTTAGATACCCTTATAATTAGGTAAATCCTCAATTTAGGATACGTTTTTTAATTTTGGTTTAACACGGATTTTAATAAAGACACAATTTAAGGTATTAAAATTGTCCAACAAATTGCAATCCTTATGGGATGTGCTGTTCTTCCTCACCTCAAACAACTTGTTGAGATTGTAGAAGGTGGATTAGTGGATGATCAACAAAAAGTTAGAACAATTACTGCCCTCGGTATTGCTGCTTTGGCAGAAGCTGCTACTCCTTATGGAATTGAAGCTTTTGACTCTGTTTTGAAGCCGTTATGGAAAGGTTTTTAAATTTTTTGCTAAAAATATTTGTGAGATGCCCTTCAAGAGAGAAAATTGTCTTTATATTTTTGGGTTGATCCTGTATATTTTTGGGTTTGACATGAATTTTTTGTTCTTTTTGTCATTGAACCTTTTCTAATTTTCCCTACTTCTTTTTCTTTATGGTTACTTCTAAACTTAAATCGGAAAAAGATAGATTACATTGGATCACTAATCAAAAAATTCCTCATAAGATTAATTATGGGTTCCTCTTCAACCTGGCAACTTTAGTCGAGTGGAATCTCTCTTAATTTCTCTCATATCTCTCATAATTTTAAGGAATTCGTACGCACAGAGGAAAAGGATTGGCTGCATTTCTCAAAGCTATTGGTTTTCTCATTCCGTTGATGGATGCTGAATATGCTAGTTATTATACAAAAGAAGTGATGCTTATATTAATTCGGGAATTTGTTTCTCCCGACGAAGAAATGAAAAAGATTGTTTTGAAGGTTTATTAAATTATTTTTGCGTTTTATTTAGGGTAATTCACGAATGATTTTAAGTTTTTGTTATTTTGGATAAAAATAACTGTTCGGAACGTCTTATGATACCAAGAGCTTCACAGTTTGGTATTTCAAGCGTTTTTGGGGGCTTGATAGTTCAGGCTTTTTAGTATTACAATGCTTGGTATTTCAAGATCATACCTAACTGGTTCATGAACCGCTGGTTTCTGAACACGTGTGATTTTTAAAATTTTTCCTCTAGAACATAAATTTGTATTATATTTAAACTAAAAATCGAAAACCGAGATCAGGTCAACCTTAAACTGCCAAGCATTAATCGTAAACCTGAGATACGAGTCAATAACCTATTGTGAACTACCTTGAATTAAATTTAATATTTTTGTCTTAATTTTTAAAAATCATTTTTAGGTAGTAAAACAATGTTGTTCTACAGATGGTGTAGAACCTCTTTATATTAGAGAAGAAATTTTGACTCCTTTCTTTAGAGCATTTTGGAATCATCGGATGGCTATGGATCGACGAAATTATAAACACTTGGTTGATACAACAGTTGAAATAGCTCAAAAGGTTTTCTTGATTTTTTCATATGAACTTCTTAATGCTGAAAATTGTCCTCTGTTAAATTTTGTGTGGTTAGTACGGAGCAGTTTCCAAATTTTATTTTCGAGGCTCTTTCGATATTGAAGATTTTTAGATTATTTTTTTCCGATTTTTCAAAAATTTCTCGCGAAACAGCTATGGTCTTCTATTATTTATTTTTACGTTATCCACTTTCTGAACGATTTTTTAACATGCCCCTTGATTTTAATAAATTTTTAAAATTTTCAGGTTGGTTCTGTTGAAATTGTTAGTAGAATTGTTGATGATTTAAAAGACGAAAATGAACAATACAGAAAAATGGTAATGGAAACAATTGAAAATATTATGGCTTTAATGGGTGCAGCGGAAATTGATTCTCGTTTAGAGGAACAATTAATTGATGGAATTTTGTATGCGTTCCAAGAACAGACACAAGAGGTTTTTAAATATTTTTTTGAGATTAGGGAGTCTTTTATGACTCTTCCGTCTTTTTCGAACAAAGCATTACCTCCCCTAAATTCTTGAGCTTTTACAAATTCGGAAAGGCCCATCCCTGCTACTTATAAAGGAGAGGCTTTTGGGTGTCCGTGGGACTTCGGGATGAAATTTGGTAGACATCTAGATCATACCCTTTCTATTGTAAAACTTGAAACCATTTCAGCTGAATGTTACCAGGGACCGAGAGATTGGGTGTGCGATATAATTTTGTCATCCCCCCAGCCCGCTGGCTACTAGTGATGTTCGGGAGAAGAAAAAACTCGGGAAACGGGAGTCGGTGGTGGCTACGCCCCCCCCCCCCCTTGTCGGGTGGTGGCTACGCCCTTAGCCAGTGGCTACGCCCTTACAGTCTTTCCTGAATATTTCGATTAATGGGACTATTGTCGCGTCTATTTAATCGTCGATAGCTTCTTTTATTTTTTAGTTTCCTTAAAAAAATTTTTTCGAATTTTCAGAGCCTTTGTTTGTTTGTTAATTTCCTTTTCTAAATATTTTATTTTTTAGAGGACATTTCAAATTTGCCGAAATAAATCTTCATTTTCTATATTTTCTTTTTTAGGATCCAATAATGCTTGAAGGTTTCGGGACAGTCTGTAAAGCTTTAGGACGTCGAACAAAACCATACCTCCCCCAAATTTGTGGAACTATATTGTGGCGTTTAAATAATAAATCTGCTAAAGTTCGTCAACAAGCTACTGATTTGGTTTAATTTTTTAAGAAAAAAATTATTTTTAATTAAAATTTTATTTTTTTTCTTAAGATTGCAAAAATAGCCCCAGTAATGAATGTTTGTCAGGAAGAAAAATTAATGGGACATTTGGGAGTTGTTTTATACGAATATTTGGGTGAAGAATACCCTGAAGTACTTGGATCTATTTTGGGGGCATTATCTGCTATTGTTTCTGTTATTGGAATGACTAAAATGACACCTCCTATAAAAGATTTATTACCTCGTCTTACACCAATTCTTAAAAATCGGTGAGAGTTTTTTTAAGTTTATTTGTTTTTTTCCGAATGACATTAGATCCCATTGGTTATTATTTAATTTGGAAAATAAATCCATAGCTTTTGGTCCCTCCTATTTCTTCCATTTTTCAGTTAGTTTGACGGGAATCAAGACATTTCTTCAATAACTTTAGGTGTTGAAAATATTTATTGCAAACTCTTATTATAAGGAATTGAAAGTTACTAGGGTTTAAGATCTATAAGTACTAAATCAGAGTAACCGCTTGGCAACTTCCTGAGGTCTATTCCACGAAATGACATTGCTTCAGCGACATTAGGCGATTGCTTTATTTCTCGATCGACATTTGAAGTTGATTTCGTTTCGTAAGTAGGTCACTCCGCCGTGATGCATATTAATAATTACCAAAAGGTCGCAGGTTCGAATGCTGCCTGGTATAAAAAGTATTACTAAAATAAGACATATAAGAGCGAAATCAGAGTCACCGGATTGTCAACTCCCTTAAGCCTATTCCACAAAGTGACTTCGCTTCAAATGTCGCGACATTGAGAGGTCGCTTGATTTCTCGATCTACATTTGAATTCGTTGCGTTTCGTGGAATAAGCCCTATTTGTTCATTTGTAGTGCATAGTAACTGCCAGAAGGTCGAAGGTTCGATTCCTGTCCGGTCTATAATTTATTTCAAAAATTTTTTCTTTAATTTAGACATGAAAAAGTTCAAGAATTTTGTATTGAATTAGTTGGTAAAATTGCTGATCGCGGCTCAGAATTTGTTTCAGCACGTGAATGGATGCGTATATGTTTTGAATTGTTAGAATTACTTAAAGCCCACAAAAAATCAATTCGGCGGGCAGCAATAAATACTTTTGGATATATTGCTAAAGCTATTGGTCCCCACGATGTTTTGGCAACTTTATTGAATAATTTAAAAGTACAAGAACGTCAACTTCGTGTTTGTACAACTGTGGCTATTGCTATTGTGGCAGAAACTTGTGCACCTTTTACTGTTTTACCTGCTATAATGAATGAATATCGAGTACCAGGTTTTTGTTTTTAAATTAAATTTTGGGGGGTTTGGGAACTTTTTAGGGGTGTTTGACTACTTTTTTGGTAAATTTTGGGAATAAATTCTAGATAAGGGACCCTGAATTTGTCTAAATTGGGTCGTCGATTTGAATAAATTCTCTATTGAACCCATATTTGAAGCAAATTTAATGTCTCTCGGGGACCTTGAGTAGTTAAATATAAGTTTGTTCATGTCCGGTTATTTTTGCTTATGGCGGTTCGATTGGAGAGAATAAGAAAATTAATCCCGACACTGACAAAAATTAACCGTGAAAAATCAAATTGAAAGAAATCTGAAATCCTCATTAATCTTTGGGTTCTTGATTTGAATTTAAGTTTGGATTTAAGTTTGGATAAATTCAATTTTGGTCATATTTCGATTTAAACTTTTCTCTAGGACTATCAATCTTAAGCATGTTGGTTATAGAATGTTATTTTTTATGTAATCCTTCCCCATAATTTTCCAAATTAATCTTTTCATTAAAATTTTTAATTTTAGAAATTAATGTCCAAAATGGTGTATTAAAAGCTTTCTCATTTATGTTTGAATATATTGGTGAAATGGCTAAGGATTATATTTATGCAGTTACTCCTTTACTTGTTGATGCTATGATGGAAAGGTTTTTAAATTTAATTTTTGGGACACGTGATTTATTTCGGGACGGAATCGCGGGGAGAATCACTCGATTCTGCCCTCTACCAATTACACAGAAAAATAACTAGTTTAATGACTTTTGATTTTGAAAAAGAAAAATAAATCTTTGGGGCGGAAATTAGCAGGAAAATCAGTCATAAATGTTTGGCTTTTGGCTAGTTTATGGGTCCAATAAAAAATGAGTCCAAACAAACTTTTGGGAGTTTTGCATGTTCGCCCATAAATTTTCAGTGGTAGGACTAATAAATTAGATATGTAAGAGCCAAAAGTCTTCTGGAGCGTGTGCTCTTGGTATGCAAGAGTCCACCAAATCCCAGTCCTAGGAAAAATAAAGCTTTGGGCACAGGAAAAGAGCCCCTCAAGCCTTCCTTCATACCCAAAATTAATCTATTAATTTTTTTAATTTAAAGAGACGTAGTTCACCGACAAATAGCCATTGATGCTTGTGCACATTTAATTCTCGGAGTGCATGGATTTGGTTGTGAAGATGCATTAATACATTTATTCAATTTTATTTGGCCAAATATGCTAGAAAATTCTCCTCATGTTATTCAACGTTTTGTTTTTGCATGTGATGCTTTGCGTGTTTCGCTTGGACCGATTAAAGTTTTGCAATATTGTTTACAGGCTCTATGGCATCCGGCGAGAAAAGTTCGAGAACCGACTTGGAAGGTTTATTTCCTTTTTAAAATTTTTTAAAAAATTGTCCGCATGGTTTATCCGCAAAATTTTTGCGGATAATCCGCAAATTTAGTCCGCAAAAATTTTGCGGATAATCCGCAAATTTTTAAAAAAATTTTATTTTTAAGGTCTTCAACAATCTAATTCTTGGATCTCAAGATGCGGTTGTTGCTGGATATCCCCGAATTCAAAATACGGACAGAAACCTTTATACCCGTTATGAACTTGATTATATCCTTTGATGATACACAATTTTCACAAACATTGTATTTTTTATTTTTTAGAGAATTGGGGATTGGACTTGGAAATAATTAATTGATTAGAGTTCAGTCAAGGGTTGCCGCCCGATACCCGAAACCTATACCCGAAGTTTTTGCCAACCCGAAACCCGAAATAAAAACGCTCCAACCCGATGCCCGTACCCGAAGATTTTTGTACCCGCGGCAATACTGGTACAGTCCAATCCTTAATTTTTAGAATGAAAAATAAAAGTTGGCCGATTAAATATACCTATTTGTTTTTATTGGATAAAATATCCTAATAAAATTAAAAAAAATTTTTTTATGTTTTAAAATCTAAATGAATTAATCAAATCATTAGAATTCATAAAATCTGTAGTGCAACAAAATATTTTAAAAGGTAAAGAATTTAAAATAGACATTTCTGTTCTAGTTATCCCTCCAATAACAAAAATTAATGTTTGTTTATTTTCTTCAGAAAAAGAATTTTCTTTTTGTTGGAAATTTTGGTTGTTTTCTGTTGTTGTTTCCATTAAAGTTTTGTTAAAATCTATCCATTCTTTTTGTAATCCTTCTTCTATTATTCTAATTAAGAGGGATGGCTTGCCTATTTTGACTTCTGTTTTTCTCTAAAAAAATTTTTTAGAAATGATTAGAATTTAAGTAAAACAACGGCTTTAAGGGCTTTTTTATTGGCAATTTTCTTACTAGTCCGACATTTTAGGTTCCGACCTATTTTTGGTCAAAATTCGGACCTATTTTGACCTTTTCGGATTTTCGTGAAGCTAGTTTGGCCTAAAACCCTAATAGGAACCTATTTTTCATTTTTTCGGACCTAAGATTTCTGACTCTCTTTATGGGTCTTAGAAAACTTTGCCACCCTTAGCCTAGGGTTGACGGATCGAGGGAAATTTTCGGATATCCCTATCCGGGCTAAAAATTTTATTAAAGTAGGGAAGATTGTTCATCGGCAAAGAAGGTTTTAGAGAGGTCCTTTGAATATTTTAGTAAAATATCCAAAAATAAAATTTAAATAAAAAAATTTACCAAATCATCCAAATCAGCCAACGCAAATTTGTATTTTCTAATTAATTGATTAAAATTGCCAGGAGTGTAAGAAACGTCCCATCTCTTTTCACAAAAATTTTCATCTTTTACTAAACCAGCAAGTTGTAATTTTAATAACAATTTTAATTCTGATATTCCATAACTCTGAAAAATAAAAGGGGAAATATTTTTAAAAAATCGGTTGTTGTCAGTCTTGACTTCTTTTTTTCTCTAGAAATTTTAAAAATAAAAAACATGAAATTTTAATCCATGAAAGAAACAAAAAGAAACACTTCTTTTGCGGATTTTTATAATTTGCGGACAAAACTTGCGGATTTTTCCCCATTTACGGACGAAAATTCATGACACTTTTGAACCTCCAAAATTAATATAATCGGGCCCAGTACTTAACTACAGAAAAATTTTTAAAAAACATTTACTTGAACAATCAGCTTTGTATAAGTCTGAAGAACAGAAGATTTCAACCCATTTGAAATTAATGACTGTAAAATTATAAGACGCAAAATTGAATTGATTTCTCTCATTTCAATAAGTGAATTTTCAATAAATGGATGAGTCTTATCATGTTGTGGATTGCGCATAATTTCTTTAAAAATTTATTTTTTAATTTCCGAAGGAAAGGGCTAAATTTGAGAGAAATGGATGGGTTTAGTTAAGTGGGATAATTTTGGATTTGTAACTGATAAGGGCCTAGGTTCGATCCCCGACAGTGGAAATTAATTTTTTTTAGAAGGGAAACTATTAAAAAATTGCTTCAGCGAATAAAAACAGTTATAATTTTTAAAAGGTAAGGTGACATTTGATCCCAAAAATCACAGAAATTTTCCCAAAAAATTTCTCCAAAAAATTTCCTACACTTTTAGTGAAGTGGGATAGAATTCCTTAAAAATAAAAAAACCTTGTTCACACCGCAATAATCCTCTATAAAAATCATCAGATTCTCGCTGTTGAACAACTCCTGCAAGGCGCATAAATATTCCCGTTGATTTACGCTTAACAACAACATTGGGCAATTTTGCTATGAAATTTTTGTATTGAGCAACAGAATCGAGAGATTTTCTTTGCTAAAAATTAAAAAATTTTCCCGTCCTTATTTTAAAAAATAAACCAATTCTTCCCCTTTCAGTTCATCAACAATTTCTCTCAATTTTAAAGCAACTCCCCCAACAGACAAATCTTGTAATTGTTCGTAAACTTGGTCGTTTAATTGAATTTCTTCAAATTCGTCTTTCTTTGATTTTTCAGGTTTATCATCAGAAGATTCTTCTGCAGGGATTTTTATTATTCCTGAAAATAAAAAAATATTTTTCTACACCATTTTTCTTCATCTCCCAGCTAACTACTAGTTAGAGGAATCGAACCCTCCACCACCACACTGAAAAATCTAAAGCGCTAACCACTACACCACCAAGCAACTAGCCTCAAATTTATTAACTAAAGCCTTAAATTAAATTGAAAACCTCTAGAATCAATTCCAAACAGCTCATCACAGACCCCACCAAATGTAGATTGTCTTAACATAGGCGTAAGCGGATCAATCCATCTATCAATTAGAACAACATCAGAAATATTTCGAAATTCGTTTTTGGTGGAATCCAAGGCTTTCTTTGGTGTCTAAAAAATTTAGAAAAATAAATGATCAGACTTTTTGGTTCTAATGGACTTTGCTTTTCCTAAAAATAAACCAAAAATTCTAAAAAAATTTTGGAAGTTAGATAAACATAAGAGAATATTCGGATAAAACTTTAATGTTTGTTCAATAGCTAAATAAAAAAAGATGACCCGACTTTTTTTCTCAACCCTTGACATCTGAGTGAAACAAGTTATCCCGTCAAATAAAATAAAAAAATTGGTAACAGATTCACACACTAACAATAAGTGTGCGTAACTCCCCCTGGTCCTAAAAATGTTACAACAAGAACAGACTAATCTCTCCTCAAGGGAACACAAAAATGGGTAAATTTATAGGAGCAAGAGAGAAAACCAAATAAATGTTTTATCAAAAAATCCCTTCCTAATTAGTCATAATTTTTTGTAAATACTATTCGGTGCGGATATAATTATTTGCCTTTTTATGAATAAAATAGTAGTAAAAAAACGGCAAGTGAATATAACCCCACCCAATCAAGGGCGTAGCCAGGGGTCGATTTCGAAGGGGTGGGTCTCGCCCTTGCTAATTATTCAAAATTACCCAAATATTTAAATAAACCTCCTTCCTACTTACACTTTCAATTTGTTTCTTCATAATTTCCAAAATTCTCAACGACCATTTTCCTTTCGAATAAAAATTAGGCAAACGATTAAATTGATCAACCAATTGTTTTAAAGCTTTTGCACATTGAAAAAGAAAATTCCAATCTCCATTAATAAATAATTGTGGAGGTAATTGGGGTAAATCCATTGAAATTAATGAAGATTGTTCTGAAGGGAACCAATTGACTGGAAGACTTTTAATTGTACAAATTTTGTCCCAAACTGATTTATCGTCTTTTAAACGTTCTGTGAGAGTGTAAGTCTTTTCTGGAATGAAAAATAGGTGGACAGAGCATTGACACTGAAAAAGATAAAAATAAGAAGGTTTTAGAATTCGTTGATTCCTAGGAAAGTGAGGCACATGGAAATTGAAAGTCGTTTCATAGAAAACTTTTTTGTGGGGAGGTAACATAGTTTTCGACAACAGCTTTTTAGGAGATTAGAACTCCCTGAATACCGAACCAAAGATTCTCAAATTTTGGGGTCTATTAGAAAACACTCAAATGAATAAATAAGCAAAATTTCTCAGTTTTTGAGCGTCTACAAAAAATTCTATAACCATTTTGTAGAATGATTTTTTTATGAAACGACCTAATAATACTTCCTTCCTGGCCATCAAATCCCATTTATTCGTGAATAAACCAAGAAAGACCCATTTTTCTTTCATATCAGTTATTCGTCTGCATCTACATACGAATAAAGGGACAAATCCCATGATAAAAGAGGCAGGAAGGTAAAGGAGGAAGGTGATAAGGAGGTAGCCAACCTCTCTCTTGGCAAAATCCTCTTTTTCCACACTCTACCGGTCTAAATGATGCAACGGTCGCAATTAAACGAGTATGAACTTGGAATCTCTTTTTTCTAGGTTTCACCTACTTTTTTCAGTTTATTTGGAAAATTTCAAAAAAATTTTACACAAATACTCAAAAAAGTAACAAAAAACCCCATTAAACTAACCCTATCATCCAATTTTCGTAACCAATTTTTGACCAATTCAATAGATGTTTGAGTAGCATAAAGAAGAAATACAAGGTTTGCAGCGTTGGAATATCCAGGATTATTTAAAGAATAATTCTTTCCAACATTTAAATTTTGTGACAACAAATTGGGGGTTACAATCTTTAAAATAAATTTAAAATAATTTTTTGATTGAAAAATCTTTGCTTTGTTTTCAGGTCAGAGTTGTCGGTTTCACTCAATTTTTCGGTTAAAAGAAACCTAAAAATAAATAGCCAGGAGAGTCTTAAACTAATTTTAAAGGACGAAAGATGGAAACGAGAAAGTCAATTTAAAAACGAAATTTGGCAAAAGACGTGTCATAATTAAGAATAATTATTTACCGCCCATTTTTAATGCCCATAAAAGGCGAGCGAGAACTGGCCAAATAAATTCATTAAATCTCAAGTTTTCACACCGACCCAAAAGTTGGCCTGTTCTTACTCCCTTTATTTTAATAAACTTATTTATTGAATAAACCCTTAAAAAGAAAGCTTTCTACCCCTGACAGACAGATTGAATCTTTTTAATTTTGTTGACATTCAACTCCCCCCAATAATCTTATTATTAGGTTGGATCATAAAAACTTACGATTTTTATCAGACAGACATGCAGTAAAATAACTGTCAAGTCTGGAAAATCCGCATGTTAAATTATAGAAGAAATCCAGGGTTAGAAAATGACATATAATGAAATACGGGAATTGTTCGTTATTCTACCGTATGTTCGCCCAATAAAAAACGCAACTTTTTATGACACGACCTAATATTTAATGCCAAAATCAAAAAAGGTCCCTTCCGTTAAGCTCTGAAAAAAAAGAAAATAAAACTGTGAGACATCCTCACTTTCAAAAAATGAAGTCCTTAAAAATTAATTAAAAAAAACCAAATTCAACAGCCTCATCATCTTTTTTCCATCCCAAACCAAATCAATCGTTCCTTCAAAAGAGGAAAATGCATCCAAAAATACTCTTTGAGTAAAATGTCTTGTAAAGTCAGAAAATTTCATTTTTCTATTTCACTAAAAAATCAAAAAAAATAAACGAAAATTAAAAAAAAAATTAAAAAAGACCAAAAACAATCTTTAAATAAACCCAAAAATTAAAAATAACAAAATTTATAACAAAACAAAAAAACAAATAAAACAAAACAAAAACCCGTGTCAATAAATATCAAATCAATTTTCGTTTCTTTTTTGTTGTTGTTGTTGAACATTTTTTGTTGGAGGTCGTTTTTGTTGAAGAAATAAGGGTCGAGGGAATACGGCACTGAAAGAAATAAGAAAATTTTGTATTAGGAAAATTTAAAAATTATTTTTAGGATTTTTTGTCGTTGTCGAGTTTAGGACAGTTAAAAAACTGGAAAATTTGATTTATAATGGGAATATGGCACATGGAAAAACTGAGGTATTTTATGAAGTTCTATGAGTCCAAAAATGCCAAATTAAATAATAGAAAAAGGAAAGGTATCACCCCTCCAGACTTTACAAATGTCAAGAAGCCTTTGGAAAGTCCAGAAAAATAGGAAAAAGAAAAACCAAAAAAATACGAGAATAGAGGAACGTAAAATAACATAAGGAATTAAACCCCAAAAAAGACCCAAAAAATTATCTCAAAAAAAACAAACTTGCAAATTTTGCAGAAAGGAACATAATTACAAGTAACAGACAAACAAACAGAGCACACCCATCCAATACTCAAAAGTTTATTATGACAGTGACAAACAGCTCTGTAATCAATGTCTTGTTGTGGATGAGAAAATAATGAAGTTTTGGAAACAATTAGGCATTCACTCTGAAATTTATCTTTATTCAAGCAGGAATTAAATTAGGATGAAAAAAGAAGGAAAACCATATTTAAAAAATTAATATGGGATCAGATATGTAGGGAAGGGGGGGGTAGAACAAAATATTACAAAAAAATTTTTAAAATACATAAGGCCCAGATCAGGCTCCTAGCCAGGGGTAGAAGGGGAATCCCCCCCCCCCCCCCGAAATGGGAAAAAGGAAAAAATTTGGATATAGATTGGGCAAAAAAGTGAAATTTTTTGGCCTACGGCCTTCTAAAATTCTCAAAATTTTCGCCTAAGGCGTTAAAATTCTGCGCAGAAAAATTTCCCCCCTTTGCCCCCCCCCCGAAAAAAATCCTGGCTACGGGCCTGGCCCAGATTATAAAAAACCAATCATTAATTAAACGAGACTCAGAGAAAAATAATCCCCTCCTTCTAAAAATACTCAAAATAAAAAATTCCAAACCAAAACAGTCTGAGCAAGTAATTTAATATTATCTAAAACCACATTAGTTCCACCAGTTATATCACTAGATTGTTGAAGAATTGGAACATTTCCATTCAAAGAAACAGAATTTACAACAAGAGAAGAATGTTTTGCAGCAAAAAATAAATTCATTAAAGTGCTGTGTTCATTTGAAAGATTTTGGGCCAAATTAACAATTATAATTGAACCAAAAGAATTGGGATATTGTTTAGAATATTTATTGAAAGCTGAAAACTGAATAAATAAAATATATGAATTTTCGAGTGGAAGCTCAAGGGAAAATAAATAAGGAAATGAAAACCGAAAAAATATGTCCGCAAAAAAATTTTTCTGTCCGCAAAAGTTTTGCGGATAAAAAAATGTGACGCAGAACCGTCCGCAAAACCGAAAAAATATGTCCGCAAAAACATAGTTTTTTGTCCGCAAAAAATTTGCGGATAAAAATCTGTCCGCAAAAAAATTTCAAAACGCGTGGACTTACTAGAACTACTACCATTACCAATCCTATTTACCCTCTGGCCCATTTTTTAAATTAAAAATACCTACCACAAATGCTAAGCGAAATAGCCCCAGAATATTGAGAAGATGCCGGCTCCTCATAATTCACATTTTCTTCCAATTTTTTTCTTAGAAAAATCTCAAGTGATTTTGCAAAATCTAAAGCTGTTTTATTCGTTTCAACTTCCTGAAATTTTTTGTTTGCCAATTTTGCCCCACCGGCTAATACAATAAGTTTGTTATTTGTTGATAAAAATAGATGAGTATTACATAAAGCTATTACAGCAGAGAAAATATCTTCTAGAACGTTTGTTTCTGGATATTTTGAGATCAACATACCCCAATTTGTTGAGTCACAATCAACTATCACACTTGTGAAGCTGCTCATAATACAACTGGAAAAGGAAAAATTAAAGTTGAACTGTAAAGGGCAACTATACAAAAGTTAAAAATATTCACTATATGGCGTTTTTAAAAGTTACCATTTTGAAATTATTAATTAAGAAATTAAAAATACATAATGCCAAAAAGTGTTTTTATTTGAAAACTTATTATCAGGTACAGCCCAAATCGGCGCGCGGCCATAACGGCGCAAAGCCATAACTTGCTTCAAAATTTCTGAATCTTACCAAATTTGGTATTAAACGATTCCTCTCATCAAGCTAAAAAGACTGGTACCAAAATTGTTAAGTGCCAGAAAATTTCCAGCAAGTTACAGCCTTGCGCCGTTTTGGTCGCGCCTTTGTGTCCCTCATTATCTCGCTCTTTTTCCTTTATCAGAAAAGAGTAAGAACAAAAAGAAGAGTGTTAGTAAGAGAAACAAAAAGCTCAAAGAGAATGAGAAAATATAGAAAAACACTAAAAAATAGTAGGCACAAAACCGTGTAAATCTCTCTTTCACTCTTCCCCCCAAATTTCTAACGATTTATTTTAAGCACGCGGTTTCCTTAAATAATTCATGTGTAAATGCTTTTTTTGTTTGTGTTGTGACTAAAAGCAAACTGGAATTTTAGTGATATTCACAAAATAAGTGAAAATTTTATTTTACTATGCAAAGTTCTACAAGCTCTAACGAAGTTGGTATTTTCTCTTTTTTATTGATTTGATCACAAAATTCCCTTTTCTTTTTCAGTTAATTTACGGAGGAGCCAGTTCCGCTTATGGTCCAGAAGAAGCCTCTCACGTTATGTCAGACAAAGTTCAAGCAATTGCTTCTGCAGTTTACAAAGAATTTGAATCGATGATTCAAAAATTTGGACAGGAGAGTGTTAAGGTTTGGTTATAATTTATTTACTTTTTTTTGTTAAAAGCTAATTTTTCCAATAAATGTTTGGGGTAGGTAATTTAATCCGTTAAGGGCGTAGCCAGCGGGACGATTTCTGGGTGGGGTAGGGGACTAACATTTGGTGTGCGCCAAAAATTTTGGCGTTTACCTTGGCGTTCCTGACGCCCTCAGCCTCCCTCTGGATAGGCCCTTGGAATCCGTATTGAATTTCACTAGGATATGGTCTCTCTGTACTAAGAGACAGGTACCCCCTAGCTGCTTGCTTGGTAAAATTCCTTGTCCTCCAACACAAGGGTGAGTTTTTCTAGGGTTACGGCGTAACGTGTTAGTCTCTTTTGACCAAAAAAATTTTTTAGAGAATTCCTTAGAGTTTTTAATATTTTCGAGCACACCTCAGCGGCTCATTTTCATGATAGCTATCAAAAATTGTCTTCAATTATTGTCTAATTTACTTATTTTTAAGGATTTAATGCCATTAGTTGTTAACGTTCTCGAAAATTTGGATTCTGCTTTTTTGGAGAAAGACGAACTTGCTGTGGACAATGAAATGTTAAAAGAAGAAAATGAACAATTATTGAACCAATATGAAAGGGAAAGGCAAATGAGAAAGAGTCAAGACCAGGTTTTTTTTTTTCTAAAAAAATTTTTTGAAAAAATTTTTTTCTAAAGAAATATTTGGAAGTGGAAGAATCACTTTTGGAGCAAAATCGTGAACTTGAAAATAAAGTTGGTAGTATGGCTAGTATTGTTAGAATGTTGGAATTGAAGACAAAAAATGCTTGTGATCACGGTAAATGTTTTTATTTTTAGTACCGTTGACGAAAACTTGGGAATTTTGTAAGGTCGTAGTTCACGTTTTTTAATTGTTCCCCTTCCAAATTTTTTTCTTCTCCTTGGTACGTGCCTGGTTTTGGTGCTGATGTGATAATTACCCCCTCTCTCTGGTCCTCGAAAAAAATCTTGGATACAATCATGTTTGGGCGTGTCTTACTTGAAATCCTATGCCTTTTGCCAATTTCCTATCAACTTCCAGGGTTTTCTCTTCTCTCTTATATTTGAATTTTTGTCCTTTAAATAATTTTATTTTTAACATTGTTTTCCTTCTTTTTTTGTCTTTTCCTTTCTTAACCGATTCTTTTTATTTAGCCAGCCGTCTAGAGGAGCGCGAAGCGGATCAAAAAATGGAATATGACAAACTACATGAGCGTTATAATGAACTCTTACGTACTCACATTGATCATGTTGAACGTACAAAGTTTTTAATGGGAACAGAAATGTTTGATATGGCTAATTCTTTACCTGTTGCTTCCAAAAATAACAAGTTTGTTTTTTTTAGTTTCGATTATTAGGTGATCTTTTTGAGAATATTTTTTTCTAAAAATAAGACTATACTAGAAAAATTTTAAAATTGATTGGGGAAGACTATTCCTAGCCTACATGGAAATCTCTGGAATTACTGGGGCAGCAAATTTTTCTCATCCTCCCCCCCCCCCCCGCCCCCCCCCCCCCCCATCTAAAGACTTTTGATTTCAAAAATGAATTTCCCCTTTTCCTTTCTTACACTGTTTTAATTCCACTTAAGATTTGGACCCAAAATATTTAATTTCTGGGATATTTTTCCATTAAAATATCGTTTTAGAAATTCAATGGCAATGAGTGCAATTGATTCTAACGTTAGAGGAATAAGTGATATTATAAGTGCTGTTCATATGTCTCAAAGTACTCATGCAGATTTAAATTTGGCTAGTCACATTAATAGCAATGAAAGTTTGTTTTTCTAATTTGGATTTTTTAAAGATTTTAAAGGAGATTGGCACGAAGAATTTGGAGGTTTACAAACAGCAGCAGAAATTTTGGCAACTCCAAGAGAAGAAAAACCGGCAAATTCCCCTCTTCCTTCAGTTGTTGAATCACCTAAAGAAGTTGTTACTTCGGAAGATGTGGATGAGGAGGAGGATGATGAACAGAAAGTGCCAGAAAGGTTTCTTGTTTGAATTTTATAAAAGGAGGTGATAAATGGGAGTAGACATAACCCGAACTATTCTGCTTATGTTAGGGGCCATTAATTATCTTTACGGTTGTAAAGTCTGGTCACCTTTGATATGATTTTGTCAGGTTGCGTTGGGTTGTAATAAAATACTTGTGGTAGACTGGGCCTCTTGTAGCTTGAACAGTTCTTTGTTTGTTGCAGAGGTAGAACGGAGTGAGTATCCGGAATTAATCAAAATTTGGTATTTGAATTCCTAAACACCTCTGCTTTGGAGGGAATTGTTAGACGTTGTTCAAACTTTTGTTTACTTGTAGGTAGGGTTGGCGGTTCTGGACCGAACCGGAGAACCATTGATTTTTCGGTTCGGATCTTCGGTTCGGTTTCGGATATCCGAAGAATTTCCAGGAACCAACAACCCTGCTTGTAGGATTCTAATAATTCTTTAAGTTTTGATTTTTTTTAATTCAGAGAAATGAATGATGATGGCGATGGAATATCTCTTGGTGCTGATTTGACAGGTTTGTTATTTAAAAAAATTTTTTTAATTTGAACTAATTTTTAAAAAAATTTAATAAAATTAGGGAATCTAGTTGACCCTGCAGAGTTTGCTTCAGCTGGTATATAAATAAAAAATACCTTTTAGAAAATTGAATTTTTTAGTTAACGATACTTTTATTGGTTGGTTTAGAAAATTAAGTGTAGTTTAGTAGTGGTTTTTGTTGTTGTTTTTTAATTTAATTTTTTTTTGTTTTTGTGGTTGGTCCTTTCCTTTTTTTCCTCCTTGCCGTTATTTTCTAAAAATGTTTTTTGTGATTTGTTTAAAGTAAATAAGATCTGAATTTTTAGTGAGAAACTACTCGTAATTTGATGCCTTCTTGTCTTTCTGCCTCTAGCAAAGACGTAGCCGGGGAATGGGGGTGGGCGGGCTTTTGGGGCTATATCCCCCTTTGACCTATACTATAACAAGAGTGCGAAGAATCTAGCTTTGGATTTGTCGGATCTCTCTTTTTGCTTTTCTAATTTTTTTTATGGGAAAGAAATTTTGCTCGATTGATTTAGCAGTTATTTCAAAATCGATTTTGCCGACTGCTAATTAAGTCCTCGCGCCCCTCCTTTCGGATCACATGCCACGAGTTTGGATATTTTGTCATTTTCTTTGTTTTACTTTTTTATTTTTAAAATTTTACGTAAAAACTCAAAATTCGGATCTTTAAAAAACAATTTTCGACATAAAAATATTTAATTTTCAGGAATGGGCAGAGAAGTTGAAAATCTTATTCGTGAAAACACTGAATTGCTTGAAACTAAAAATGCTTTAAATATTGTAAAAAATGATTTGATTGCAAGATTGGATCAGCTTAGCAGGTTATTAATTTATTCAGATTTTTACAAGTTTTTTTCAAAAGCAAATTTTTGTTAAAATTTGTTTGCACCAACTAATGAATTTTTTGCGTGAAATTAGGAATTTAAAGTTTTCTGCTAGTATTTTCTATTAGATTTTCCTTTTAACAGTTTTAATTTCCTCATTAAATTCTCTAATTTTTTCCTTTATTTTTTAAGTGAACACGCAGTCTATAGAGAAGAGGCGCGAAGTCTCGAACTAGTCAAAATAAAATTAATTGAACGCATTAGAGGATTGGAAGATGAATTGAAAGAATTAAAAGAAGCAAAAAATCAAACAGAGACGCCAGAGGTTTTTTTAAAAATTTTTCTTAAAAAATTATTTTTAAAGGAAGACAAAGCCCAAGGCCGTCGATTTACTCGTCTCGAAATGGCTAGAGTTTTGATGGAAAGAAATCAATACAAAGAAAATTTCTTTGAACTTCAAGAAGCTGTTAAATTTACAGAATTGCAAAGAGCGAGAAGGACTACGTCTTCTAATAATCAAAATAAATCAATTATTTGGAGCTTGTAAGTTTGGGGCTTTTATTTTTGAAGGGTTTGTTTGAAATTTTATCGAATATTCAAAATGTCAAAATTTTTGAACCGGCTAAAATCGGGCTTGTTTGATTTCGCAAACGAAACAAAAGTCCAGACATAATTATATTTTTAACTCCTTTCTAACAGCTCACGAGGAAATTAATGCATTTTATAGGCCGAGGCGTTTTCTTTTTTCCACATTTCGTGGAAGGTGGGGGGGGGGGGGTATAATTTGTTGGATCTATCTGGTTCAGGCTTATCTCATAATTTTAAATAAGCTACTAAAATGCTTTTATTTTAATCAGTCCCGTAGCCATGAATATTTTCGAGGGGGTGGGATGAGAATCATTTTTCTGCGCCGCTTACGAAAATTTTGAGGATTTCGTAGTAGGCCAAAAGAAATCACTTTTCCCCCATCCCCTCTCTAATTTTTTCCTTTTCTCTTTTTCGAAGGGGAGGAGGCAGTGGATGAATTCCCCTCTGACTACGGGCCTGCTTTTAATTATCAAAAACTTTTAATTTTTAGTTTCTCCAATCTTCTTGGTGACAGCACATCAACTAGTCATATAGGACAAAATGTGAAAAAATCCCAAACTAAAAAGAATATTCCATCATCTCCATTAACTCAAAGGAAAGCACGTTCTGGAGGAGATAAAGAAGACAAAACGTTTTTTTAAAGAAAATTATTTTTTAATTAAAAAAATTTTTTTTTGTAGAAATCAGGACAGATTTAATGCTGAAAGGCGACAACATTACCACGAAGTTAGTCAACATATGAAACAAGAAGACTTTCCAACGGCTTATGGTTTTTTTTGAAATTTTAAAGGAATTGATTTAAACTAAAATTTTTATTTGTAGGTTGGTCTATACCCTCAACTAAAGCAGCGGCACAAAATTTATCCATTCCAGTTCCAGTCAATTGTCGTCCATTGATTGAAAATGCTTCACCTTCACTTAAAGTATATATAATTGTTTGAATGATTTTTTAAAATTAATTAGGGTCCCAAGTTATTCCGTCCTAATAAGGTTGTTGGTTCATGGAAAATCTTCAGATATTCGGAACCGAACCGAAGAACCGAAAAATAAGCGGTTCTTCGATTCTGTTCGGTCCACAACCGACAACTATATTCTTAATTATTCTATAATTTTTAGTTTAGGATGTTCTCTTACTTTTCCCATTCGAGCTGTTCAATAACGAAAATTTTTCCAAAACTCGAAAATAGACCCCTAACTATAAAGGTCGGTAGGAATTAAAAATCAACTCATTCCTAGTCTTAAATCAAGACTCAAACCCCAAAAAAGAACAGTTTTGTGCTTTCTGCTTTCAATTACACAACATGGAATTGAGTCGTCCACTTCACTTGGCCACTTTTTTCCCTTTCCATTTTTACAATTTTCTTTTTAATTTCTAGATTTGTTGTGCCGCTTCTTGTTCCCTTCATGGAGGATTAAGTAATGGTGAATATATTGTTGGCGATCCAATACTTGGCTGTGATCCTTATTTATTTTTAAAAAATAATTTTCAACGAAGTAACAATGAAAATGGGGGGAGAAAATCTGTAAAGAAAATTTTTTAAAAAATTTTCAAAAGAATTTTTTAGATTGGCGAAATCAAAAAATTAAATGGTTCAGAATTTTCTCTTTTGGAATCTTCAAGTTTAGTTTGGATTTGTAGTTCCAGTGAAATTCAAAAACCTTTTGTGACTATTTTGGATGTTAATTGTCCAAATTCAATACTTGAAGGATTTGAAATTAATGAAATTGGAGCTAGAATATTTTGTATTGCTAGTGTTTCTGGTAACTTTTTTAAAATTTAAAACATACATTATTTTTTTAATTGTGGTCACACAGTTTCCTTTAATTTTAATTTTTTTGTTGGGCTTTTTATTGAAAATAATGTCAGGCGTTTGAAATGATGATACCTTCCTTTTTTAAGGAAAACAATTTTTCCGAATCCTCGTCTTACAATTAGAGATTGAACCGAGACAGGATCTCGAACTAATCTCTCGGTTATCGAGATTAAGATTTTTCGGTATGCGATCTCGATTCTTGTGAAATCCTAGCCGCTTTCTCCTTACAGAATATTTTTGAATAATATCAAGCTGGATCAAAGAGAATGACTTTGGGTTATATTATGTTAACTTTCAGGACTTTTGCTCCTTTCCTTAAGAAAGGTTCTAATAACTACTTTTTCGGACCCTTTTTCACTCATGTATTTTTCTTAAAACACAAAAAATTAATTTAAAAATTTAAAGGAATTCATTATTCTGATATTCGAATAACTGAAGAAGGTTTAAATTCTGATTCAGAATTATGTACAAGAGGAGGTTATTTTGAAAAGAGCAAAACTTTAATTGAATCTATAATGGATTTTGAATTATTTGGATCTGTTGAATTTATAAAATTGCAATTATCTACTAAAAAAGGAGAAGGAGAAGCTACTCAAACATTGATTTGGGAAGGACAACAAAAAATGACTTCGCCTTCTAAAAGGAGAAGAGATTGTAAGAGGGGGTTTTCTTTTTAAAAAAGACTTTGAAAATTATATTCATAGGGTGCGGGATTAATTTAAAGTAATATTGAATTTAGAATTTTATTAAATTTTTAAAGAGAATTGCTCGATTCTCTTATTGGTTTTCACCTTTTAGACTCCCACCGTACACTCTACGTTCCTTTGGAAGTCCCAAGATTTTTATTTGGGTTGGTTGTAAAGTCGAGGATCCGCGGTTCATGGTTTCTCTCCCTTTAATAGAAGGTACAGCCCAAGTAGGCGCGCGGCCATACTAGCGCAAAGCCATAACTTGCTTCAAGATTTTTGAATCTACCAAATTTCTACTTGGGCGCCTCTAATAGATTTATGTAATTTTCGGGAACACAAATTTTAAATAATTTTAAATTTTACTCTCTTTTATTCTAATAATAATCATTTTTTAGCCAGTATTAATGAATCACTTCAATTAAATGATACTAGTATTGTTAATGTTGAAGGATGTAAGTTTTTTTTAAATTTTTTAGTGGAAATAGAAAAATTATAAAGTCGTACCTCTAATTTTTTTATACTTTAATTTGGAGCTGTCCAATAGCGAAAATTTTCTCGGACTCGAGACTGAGTCCAAAACTGTATCCAAAGACTAAGACTTGACCTAAAAAGCAATACTGAAAAATTCTAAGAAATGTCTTTAATTCTTGGACAGCTTTACCTCATTTTAATTGGCTTTATCTATCCATTGTCAGTAATAATTTTTTAAATCTCTATGTTATTTAGTGGTTCGACTTTATTTAAAAAAAAGGTATATATTTTTAATAATCCCAAAATTTAATCATCAAAGTGGCCACTCGTTCGTCTCTGTTGAGACAAAAAACAGCGCTCCATAGAAATTTGGCAATACCCCTCCAAGAGGATAATATAAATAATAATAATAGTGAAGGTGATGATGAATTTAGCAAAATTAATTTTGAAGAAAAAAAGTTTGGAAAAAATGAACAAAAAATTGAACCAATCTCTGAGCAAATAAACAAGCTTGGAGAAAGTCAGGGTGAAAAAAGAAATTATAAACTTTTTTTTGTTTATTATTTTTTGTTCTTCTTTTTCTTTCTTTTTGAGTTGTGTCACTTTTTCGTTTTTGGGGTCTATAAACTATCTTAAAAAAGTTGGTCAATAATTCAAGTTTTGTTACTACTTATACTTGTAGCCAGCGCTCGATCAGGATCTCGTGAGTGCAATCCCATTTCCTCCATATTTTTTTTGATTTTGGGGTTTATCGCGAAAAATCTTGTCCAGCAAAAATGAAAAAACCCCTATTTGAAAAAATTTGCGCTACTTTGCCGACCACCAATCCTTAATACGTTTGTTTAAATTAGTGTTGAAAAAATATTCTTTTCGAATGCCTACAGGTTTAAGGTTCGAACCCCGCCATTAGAAATTTATTTTACCGAAAATATATATTTTAAATAAATTATTGACCAATATAAAGCGCTTAACTTTCTCCTTTTTTAAAAACTTTTTTATCATTACATATTACAAAATTATTTTAAAATTCCAGATCCAAGCCCTTCTCCTCTTGACAAACTTTCTTTACATATCCGAAATACTCTTAAACGTTATGAAGCTTTACCTGATGAGGATATTTTAACACTTCCTTTAATGTGGATTGGAACAGAAAGCGAATAGTTAAATTAAAAAAATTATTTTCCTAACCAAACTTTTAAATTTTAAGTATTTATATTTACTCGTCAGTCAAGGATTGGAGAAAATGTTTAAGATGTATTAAAATGCCCGATGCTGTTCTTTCAATTTTGTGAGTTATAAATGTTTTTAGAAATGGGGTTTTTAACACTAGAAAATATAACCAGAGTCAAAAATTCATTAGTCAAAGAAATTCTTCGTCATGAAACACTAAATAACAAGAAATTTTTGTGCACCTTTTGTAAATAGGCATGTTTTGTGTTCATGTCGGGCCGGATCTGATTACATTTTTCTGACTAATCCGGCTCGGAAATAATCCGGAGATAACGAAAAAAATCCCGATTTGGGACTCGCACTCTTGAAAAATCCGGCCTGATCTGTTCCGCAAATTTTCGTGGATCATTAGAGAAATCCGTTACGAAACACGAAATAACAGGAAATTTTTGTGAACCTTAGGATGTTGTGTGTTTCATGTCATTTCATGTCAAACCTGATATGATTACATTTTTCTGGACATCCACCTCTGGAAATAATCCGGAGATAACGGAAAAATCTGGATTTGGTGCATCTTACGATGATGAACACTAATTTTAACAATTTTTTAGACATTCAAATGGCCGTGTATTTGTAGCTTTAGCAAATGGATGTATTGCAGTATTTCACCGAGATATGAAAGGTCGTTGGTCTGATATTGGTTTTCATTTAATGCAAATAGGGCCGTCAGATGCTTCTGTCTGTTATTTACACCAAGTTTATGGAAAAATTTGGGCAGCTTGTAAAAATTGTATTGTTGTTTTTGATCCGGTTACTTTGAGGGTTGATGTAAGGGGAATTTTTGTTAATTTAAAAATTAAAAGTAGGGGGTTGTGCGTGGCTGGACCCGAAAGGCGAGGGTCAAAAATCGGCTATAACCAAAAACTAGTTGGCAAATCCGGCAGTTTTAAAATTACACATCCTAGTGACAAAATTTTTTTTGTTTCATTTCGATCAATACTCTTTGTTAAAATAAAATAGGTTTCCATTGCTGGGATTCGAACCTTTGACCTTTAAATATTGAAAGCTGAAACCTTCCAATTACACCAAAAACAACCGCTAGAGCCATTTTTCTACGTATTAAATTTTCCCAAATTTTTAGAGTATTTTCCCTGCACATCCAAGAAAGGACAGTAAAATAAGACAATTTGCACATTACGGAAGTGGTGTTTGGATTTCTATAAGATTGGATTCAACAATTAGATTATTTCATGCAGAGACATATCAACATTTACAAGATTTGGATGTTGAATCTTTTATTATAAAAATGCTTGGTTAATGAGACATTTTAAATCATTATTTTTAAATATAGGCTGACCTACACACAATTTTTGAGAGTTATGAGGGGCCTTTTAAATTGGGAGGTATCGAGTAGATAGTTAGGTCCCCTGCCTAAAGATATTCTAAGGCATCTATCAATATGCATATTGTGTGTATTTAACACATGTGGGTTCAAAAAATAGTCGGGGTTTTGAAATTTTTTCGGATTGATTAAGAGAGGGATACCGGGGGAATTACTGGGATTAAGGTAGATTTGATTGGATTAAAACTAATATCAGAGAATTTGAAGATTAAGGTGAATATCAAGGGGGGTCGGAAAATTTTGGGTTTCAGGTAACCCCCTTCCCATCCTTAATGTGAGGTATTTAATAAATTAAAATAAATTTTCTGTAGGTCCAAACAAATTAGACTTGGTACTTTTACGAATTACTTCTCTAAGTATTTTGGATAAAAGAATTTGGATTGGTATTGGCTCTGGAATTATTGTTTCAATACCTTTTGGTTGTGAAGGTAATTAAATAATTTAGAAAAATCAAAAAATTTCCCCTTAAGATAATTCTTCAAATAATAAATCTACAAGTGAAAAAGCAAAAGGACCAGGCCAAGTAATTAGAGTAATGAACACAACAGAAAATGCGGAGGGGGATAAAACTTCAATAATTCCTTTCTGTGAAATATCAAATGCTCAATTAAGCTTTCATGGACATAAAGATCCTGTTCGTTTTCTAGTCCCTGTACTTGCTGGTTTGTTTTTATTTTTTGGCTTTTGTTATTGTTTTAGAGAAAAAACTTGCTCGTATAGGAGGAAGTTAGATAGGGGCCTGTCCTATTTACGAATGGGGAGGGGGTGTAGATATGGATGTGTGAAACTGAGTGGAGTTGATGGAAATCTGTCGTCCGCCTGTTCGAACATTAGGCTCAACGAACCCAGACAAGTGGGAGAAAAGTGATTCCCTCCCTTCTAACTCCCAATTCTTCTAATCGACTTCCAGCCAACTAAGCTCTTTTCTTTATTTTCCTTTGGATTTTTATAAGAATTGAATTGACCATTTAATCCTGCCTTACTAATAAAATTATTTTTCAGAAGGTTTCTCAGATTTGACTTACAATTCAGAACAAACAAAAGCTTATATGGTATCTGGAGGTGACGGATATATTGACTTTCGTTTAGGTAAATTGGCGAAAAAAGGGAAAATCTTTTTAAAAATTTTTACAGGTGATGACACTTCTTGTGAAGAAAATACTAACAGTCCATCTCAAAATAATAACAATTCAAATGTTAGGGATATGTCTCATTTACTTATGTGGGAAAATGATTGTTCATTAGAATGGATGAAGACTTGAGAAAAAAAAGAACCTCATTTTAATATATATATATTTAATATAATCCCGAGTAAATTTTTATAGATATTAATAACAATTTATAAATAATTATTTAATAGAAATTTTAAATTTAGAAAAAAATGCTGAAACATATCAAAAGAGATACGAATTAAGCTTTCGCATCGTATACATCACAAGGAACGAGCCGACAAGAAAATTAAATTCACGATTTCTGGGAATCGGGAAGGCTCGTTCCCTTGTATATACATAGAACATGTTACATAAAAACCGCCTCTTTACAAAACATTGCTCACCCTAAAGTTTCGAAAACCCTTTACATAATTACATGAAAAAAGACAGGAAATTTTTAAAAAGTGGAAAGTTAGAGGCGTAAGAAGAGAACAAAAATATAAGGAAAAGTGTTCTTGAAAATATCACCTAAAAGTCGAAAAAAACCTCGAAAAAAAACTCCTTATCAGAGCTGTTCCAAAATTTCGATTTTCGAGGTTTTTTCGACTTTTTGGTGAGATTTTCAAGAACAAACTCTTTTCCTTATATTTTTATACAACAAAAAAATACACAATTTTTTTTTACATATTTAAGCAGGTCTAGAAGGCATAATTAAAATAGCTGGAGGGGAATGTTGTAAAGCAAAAGCTGCCAACATTTGACATAATTGAATAAAAACAATACAAGAATAAATTAAATTTTTTTCTTTAATTGTTAAATTTAAAAAATTATTTTGCCCTTCTAAAGAAGCTATTGTTGAAGAGAAAAATAATTTATTATTATTATTTCTTCTTTCCCTTTGTTGAAAATTAGAATTTAAATTTTTAAGCAATTTATTATTTTTAAATATTCGAATTAATAATTGTTCAAATAATTCTTGGGAAATTTGTTTGTTGTTTATTACAGACAAATCTATTTGATTTTTAACTTGTTTTAGTATCTAAAAATGAAGGGGAAATTTATTTGGGACAAAAGAAAGGGATTTCTAAGCAAGCGAGACAAAATGTGGGTAAAATAAAAACAAGAAAATTAATTTTTGTTTCGAAATGTCGATTTTCGAAAATTTCTTAGTTTCGAAATGGCTCTAGTTAGGGGACAAAAGAACTTTTAAAAAACCAAAAGAGAAAGTGGAAAACCCCTAATAAAGTGAGCTCTAATTAACGTTACTCTTCTCATGTCATTTCCCCCTCTTACGTCTAATTCGTCCCCGAGGAACGTGTTTTGACTGATTTAAAGTCACTACCTATGACATTTCCCAAAATCTTTCCTAAAGGATGCCGTTATATATGTAGACTACCTCACATATTCTTAGTGATATCCAATACTTTTCTTCTAATTAAAAATCTGGAAAAATTCTTTGCGGATATTTTTAAATAATCAACTAACTTAAAAGCAGTTGTTTAAAAATTTCGATTTTCGAGGTTTTTTTCGATTTCGACTTTTTGGTAATATTTTCGAATTCCGAATTTTTTTTGTTTCGAAACAACTCTACCTTAAAAATAGCAACAAAAACCCCAATCAAAAATTCAAATACCAAAAACAAACTCACATCATTTATCTTCAAAAGAGGCAAATTTCCACGTAAAGAATCCACATAAAATAAATAGGCGGTAAGTAAAGGTTGAGGATATGAAAATAATAAATTAAAAACTCCGAGTAATTGAATATTTGTATTAAAACTGTTTTCGGTTAAATTGGAGAGAATATCAAATAATGATTCTAATAATATTCCAGCACCTTTAAATTGAATAATTCTAGTTTTTAAAAAATATTACAAAAAGGTCAACTCTTTATTGTCAGAATGGTCAAATTTAAGGAACTTATGCCTCCATTTACTCACAAGACACGTCCAAGTGTTGGCCCGTTTATTCGCCAATCACACCATTTATTCGCAGGGCAACAAAAAGTTTATGTAACCTAACTCGAGTAAGTACTCGGGTTAGTACATATAGTACTAACCCGAGCAACAATCCGAGCCCAAGTTAACCCGAGCCAATAGGATTGGTTGACCGTTTTGAGCCTCTCTTGAGCTTGCGAATAAATTGGGAGTGTACTTAAACTGCAAAAGTCCCAAATTTAAAATGGCCAGAAGTTACATGATCGTTTATCAACTAAGACACTAACAAAAATACAACTATGATTAATTTGACCATAACAAGATTGACCATTTTTAAAAAATCCAAGGGTTGACCATTTTGCACCCAATTCTATTTAAACAGTTTAATGTTTAAATACCTTTTTCCTCAGTTGATTTCATTAAAATTCCCCCATTAATATTCAAAAACACTTCTTCCCCTCCACTTTCCCCCTCCAAATTTAATCTAAAAGGATTTGGCTCTTTTGACATTTGTTGTGTTAATTCCAATTTTTCAATTCTCAATTCTTCCAAATGTTGCCAACGAGCGTCAATTAAAGATAAATCTTCAATTAACAATTTATTTTCATTATTTGAAGAACGAGTAGGTAATAAATTCAATAAATTGATAAATTTGTTTCTATCCTTTAAAAAAATAAAATAAAAATTATTTGGAATTTTTTAGATTTTTGTGGATATGAAGGATCCTGCCGAAATTCCCGATTTCAAAAAAGTCGGGAATTTTCAATTTTCGTGGAATCTATATATAGGATTCCATGTTTTTGAAAGTTGAGTTTAAAAAGATCGTCAAGACACACAAAACAAACAAGCAAACCAGTTTATGCTAGTTGGTGAACATATTTTCAAAAGGGTTTTTATCAGATCGTTTCAGAAAAAATTTTGCATAAGAAAATCAATAAGTCTTAAAGGGTTAATGGATCCAGTTCCAAAAAAAGTCAGGATATCCGAAAATTTTCAGTTCGGATATAAAAGATTAGGATTTCATAGGACCCAACAGTTGTTATGAAAAATGGTTATAGTATAAAAATGATCCCTAGCTTTGATTGGCAAATGGACTTTTCGATAGTTTCAGGAGTACCGAAAACTAACGGCTCAATACTACCGTCAGTATCTCGGTAGCTCGAACTATGCCGAGCAATAGTTTTAATCTGCCAATATTTTAACATTATTTTGAAATTTATACGATTTACCATTTTGAACCCCTTTTTAAACAAAATATTGAACCCTTCGTCTATCACTGATAATTTAATTTTTAAATTTAAATACCAACATTTTTAGCCTCATTCCAATTTGTTTGAACAACAGCAGACATAAAAGGTGAAAGTGTTGGTTGTTGTTGTTTAATTAAATTAATAGATAAATTAGATTGTCTTTTTTCACTATCAGAATTTGAATTATTGTTTATTTTTGTTGCCAAAATATTTTTTTGTTTTTTATTAGACAAAAATTCTTCTTGTGAATCTTCTTCAGAATTTCTTCTCGAAAAACTATCCAAATCCGATTCAGAAACTCGGTCATAAATAAATTGAAAATAGTCGGGTCTGTTGTCTTCGTTTTCATTTAAAACACTGTAAAAAATATTTTTTTAAATTAGGTTTGAAGGAAGGGGAACAGCTAAAAATATTTTAATTTGTATTCCGCAACCATGCAACATGCCCAAAATTTGATGAACGGGACCTACCTAATTATTTCGTATTAAGGCCAGTAGCCAGGGTAGGAGAGGGTCCCGCATTGTGTGTAACAGGGATGTGCCAAAACAGATTTTAAAAAGCGAAAGTCGAGATTGCGAAAGCCCAAAAAAGGCGGAATTTTGGCGAACGACGAAATGGCACATCCTTGGTGTGTATGTAACATAACTCTGGATGAATTGAGCTTTCTATTCCCATATATTTTGTGGTACTAAAATGCAGAACTGGGTACTTATCGCCATTGAACGCATAAAAATTTGAATGGACGCATAAACTTTTCATTAGGCGCGTATTCTGGACAAGAAACAATCCTTTTTTCTAAAAAGTGTTTTTTCTAAAATCCCATTCTCCAAATAATTTATAATCTCAAAAAAATATTCTACCTCGCCTCCCCAAATTCTTCTTGTGAAGACAAATTATTAATTACTTCATTTCCATCTTCTAAACGTTCAATTAAATTAGTCAATTGTTCATCATCTTCCCCCAAACTATTTAAATTTGTATTGTTTGATTCTAATTCTCCTTCAAGTAAAGTCCCTCGACCTGAACGGTTAGAATGTCCATAACGATTCCATCCTGTTGAGGCAAAAGAAGAACGGGCTGAGGAATGACGAGTAAATGCCTTTTAATTAAAGAAAATATTTTTTTAATATTTTTGCGGGATAGAATTTGAACGAGAAATGAATTTTTGGTACAATCTAGTTATACCAGAAATTTCCGCAAATTTTTGTTCGCAAGTTTTAAGTTTTACTAATTACACAGGATTATTTGATACATATTAATATAATTATTTTGGTTTAGCACGAGAAATATTTTTATGACTTAAAAAATTGCTGACATTCCCGGTATATGTAAGTAAAAAAGCAACACTACTTTTCCTATTTTATAAAAAAAGCGCTAACTTTGTGGATAATCCAGAAAAAAATAAGAAATGACGGGCCTTCTCTTTATTCTTTTTTTCAGAAAAGAAGGGGGATAAATAGCTAAAATAAACTAAAATGAAAATATTGACCCAAGTGAGTCATTTTATAATGAAAAGGACACCTTCTGGTAATAAAATGCCTAATCTTACAAGAGGATAATGGGTTTCCAAAAATATTTCTTTTACTAAACCCCAAAAATTATTTTTACTAAAAAACCTGTCTAGGTGTAACAATCATTCCTTCAGAATTTATTAATTTTTGAGGATTACACAACAGACATTTTGGCAGACTTCCATCATATTTTAATGCCCAACAAGAGCAACATTCTTCACAATCGCGAATTGATTTGCCTGCTTCTCGTAAATATGTTTCGAATTGTTCTTCCGAACAGAGCTGAATAAAAATAATGATTTTTTATAAGTTTATCAGGGAGGGCGAAATGTGACAAAATGTAAAAAAGACAAAATTCAGATAATATAAACAAACAGACAGGCTGTGGTATTTTAAATGGAAGTTAAAAAAATAACAACTTTCCCTTGTGTGGTATTTTTTTTCAATTGGCATTTTGTCGCTTTTAACGCTTATGGGCATTTTGTCGCATTTAACACTTATGAGCGTTCCCAGCAATTGAAAATATTCTTTAAAAATAAAAATAAACCTCCAAAACATTTTTAGCACATTCAGGAATACATTTAAGAAAATAGTTTGCAGAATTTAACGAAATATTTGCATCAAAACGTCTACTCTGGTTTGGATGTCTTAATTGAATGAAAGGAAGTAAATGACGAAATATTGTAGACCAAAGAAAATCTTCACAGTGTAATGATAATAATGTACGGATTAAAGAAAGTGTTACTCTACAAAGCTGAAAAATAAAAAAAATTGAAAGAAGAAAAAAATTTTGTTTTTGGGACAGTTTGGTGTAGTTGGATAAGTTTAGGTTTTGTGGGTAAAAGTATGAGGGTTCGACCCCGGTGGTCGGAGTTACTACTTTTTAGTCTTTAATTGTTTATTCCTTTGATCATTTTTGGGGTTTGGAGGATACAGAGATTTAGAAAAAAATAAAATTTAAATGTAGACAACCCTCAAGAATATTTTTAAAATCAATTTAAAAAGGTCTCCAATCTGTCAAGATCCTTTGAGTAAAAAAAGGTTTTTAAGGCTCGACACTAACAAATAAGGGTGGAAAAAAATTTTCTTGAAATTTTTAATTCAGTTTCTAAGTCGTTTTTAATTTAGGTGGCACAAAAAAATTTTTCCAATAGAATTTGAGGGGCTAAAACAGTTCCAAAGATTTCTTAGTTTTGCCTAACAAAAAGACTTTCCTTTGGATTTTTTTGGGGTTTTAAGGGTAATAAAAATATTTTGTCCTTAAATAATTCAAAACAAAACCCAACTCTATCACTCTCATGCATTTTAACCAAAATTTGTTCAAATAAATTCATTTCTTCTTCTTCACTTTTTTCTTCTACATTTGTACTAGTAGTTAACAAAATTTTCATAAATGCTTGTAATAAAGCTGTAGCAGAAATTGTTTCAATACATAAATGAAAATAAACTATACGAGAACATAATTCTTCTTCTTTTGGTTCTGACTAAAAATTAATGATAGGGTTACAAAAGCGTAGCCAGGGGAGGGGACACGCCCAAATAGGCGCGTGTCCATAACATCGCAAAGCCATAACTTACTGGAAAATTTCTGGCCCTTATCAATTTTTGTCCCAATCTCTTTAGCTCGATGAGAGGAGTCGTTTAATACTAAATTTGGTGTGATTCGTAAATCTTGAAGCAAGTTATAGCTTTGCGCCGCCCAGGGGAGATGGGGGGCTGAAGCCGTTTTGAAAACAACCTCCAAAATTCTCAAATTCCATTTTCGCCAAAAATGGAAGAAATTTGGCTTTTGGCCTTCCAAAGTAATGTCACCCCTCTCAATAAAAATTTATTTTGAAAATATTAAAAATATTTGAAAAAAAACCTCAACAATAGATGATTTAAAAACTTTTAACAAAAATCCAGTGTAAATAAAGTGAACAATTTGACGGGTAATTGAATAATGGGCTATTCGCGCAACAGAATTTGTAAAAAGTAAAGCATTGTGGAATTCATAGAGTTGAGGCTAAATAATTAAAAAAAAAATAAAAAAAAACGAAATTTTTCAAATATCCGCAAGTTTTGTCCGCAAATAATTTGCGGACAAAATTTGCAGATTTTCGAAAAATAAAAAAAAAACAAACAAACCATTCCTTTAACATCAAAAACACTTAATTTGTGAGCTTCGTTAGAATCTAAAGCAAACTCTGAAAATACACATTTTGGGAGTTGAGAAAAACATGCAGAAAGACCAGCAGACATTACATGACATAAATCTCCCTAAAAACGTTGAAATTAAAAAATAAATTGATTTAGAGGCAGGGTCGGTTCATTTCAGTATACTTCCTGCTTCGCTCAGAATTCGAAACAAAACAAGGAACGGAATTTTGGAGGTCCAACCTTTTCCAAATTAAAACCCAATTCGACTTCTTCTCAAACCGTGGTGTGCGCAAAATTTTGGCGTTTGCTTTGTCATTCCTAACGCAGTTTTTTGAACCTTGTAATTTGGACGGTCATAGGCGAAAAAATTCTACTTTTTTGTTCAATCCCCTCCTCAACTTTTTCCCTTTTCCCCATTTCGGGGGAAGGGGGGCTTTTCTACATAAAAGATGTTAAACAAACACCCATTAAAAATAAAAAAACCTTTTGAATAATATGTTCAGCAATAAATTCATTTTTGCTAGAAGCCGACATAATTAACAACAAAGCATCCCTAGCTAGTTGGCTAGTAAATTCAGGTCCATAAAGATAGGGGACTAACATATCAAAAATTAAAAAAGGTTTGTGTAAATTCTGTTCATTTAGTAAAATTGCTTCGTTTTTTGGAGAATTACTTCCTTCTATTATTGCCCAATCTTCATTTAAAATTAATGAAGAATCAAAAAAGAAGTGTAAAAGAGTTTCGTGTTCTGCTATTTGACGAAATATCTGAGGAAATTTTTTTAAAAAATTGAAAATATATTTTGGAAAATTTAAAAAGGTATTAAAAATAGAAAAAAATTTTAAGATCAGGGCCTATATCAATTGTCCGTAGATTCTGCAGGATGTTTTTTGGTTGTTTCCACAGAATCTGCGGTCAGCACAGATTCTGTGTCCACAGAATTTAATCGGTGTAGAATTCTACGGTCTGTGCACAGAATGCAGAATTTGCGGACAATTAATATAGGCCCCAGAAAGAGAAACTTTTTGAGAAGGGAAAATTGTCTACTTTGTAAAAACCAAAATTTAAGTCTTGTCCATGGATTCGATAAAAAAAACCCTTGACTTGTTATAGCGAAGTAACATTCATTTTCAAAATATTTTAGGGCCGAGTTATGGACGGTCAATTTTTGTACATATAAAGGGTTGGGAGAGGTAACTTTATTTCAACTGGAAACTGACCCGAAAATTTTTTTTTGAAAACCTAGCCGAAATATGATCAAATTTTCTCGATCCGTCCCATCCCTTGTACATAGTAGACAATGTATCTTAGAAGGGAACCACCCAAACTGTTACCAAAAAACCGCTCCAAAAGATTGAAACTTTAAACCCCTATAACTTTTCACTTTGGGGGCAAGGGAAGAAAAGCCGAAAATTGGCAATAGGTTATCAAACATGCTCTACAGGAAGGCATAATTTAATTTGAAAATTTTTGGTAAAAGTTCGAGTGGTTCCCTTCTTAATGAGTACCCAAATTTAAATTTAAAGACCAATTAATCCCCCTTAAAATTAAAAAAACCTGATTAATTAAATTCAACAAACAATTACTAACAACAGAATTTGGATATTTTTGTATTTTTGTAGAATGTCTAACATTAAAAGATTGTTTACACCATTGCAAAAGTTGTAATAAAGGAACAAGTATAGGTTTATGTACAAGTAAGGATTGTGGACATTGACAACAATTAACCATATTTTCGTATAAATGTAAAAGGAGAACCTTAAAAAATGCAAGGAAATTAAAATTTTTAATGAAAAAATCTATTGAATAAAAATTTATGAAGTCCAAAAAAATATTTTAAAATAAATTTTTAGCCAGAAAAATAGTTTTTGGGGAAATTAAAAATAGTTTCCCCAAGTAGGAATCGAACCTTCATCACATAAATGAAAAAAACTTAAAGCTGTCCAACTACACCAAGCATTCCGGCGAAATGAAAACCAAAAAACGATTTTCGAAAAAAGGAAATATTTAAAGGATGACATAGAATCCAAACCTTTTTATTTCAAAAGTTTTATCTGAATTTTGTTAATAGGATTTGTACTTCGTCCCAGAAAAGCCGGAGAATACAAAACTTTAAAGAAAATTTTCCGCCACCTTCACTTCCCAAGTTGCGCTGCCCCACCCTCCCCCACATTTTTTCGAGAGTGCCGGAAAATTGGGCTCTGGAAAATTGGGCTCCAAGATATTTCGGAAAATTGGGCTCCAACTTTTCGGAAAATTGGGCTCCAGCGGAAATTTGGGCTCTAAATGAAAAAAACGGAAAATTGTGCTCCAATTTTTTAAGCGCGGGAAATTTTGGCGTCAAAGTGAATTTTTGGATTTCAACAGAAAATGACACAAAATCAAACAACGTAAACCTATGGGCGTCGGCGAGGCGCTTGTGCAAAATCCCGCGCTTCGCGCGGGATTTTGCGGCATGCGCTCGCGGGAGTCAACGGTCGCTGGGTCTACAACAAGTTCAAGAATTTAAAAATCGTTCAAGAATTCAAGAAGTTAACCTCGTTCAAGAATTTAAAAAAATTTTAAAATTCTCTCAAACCTGACAAGACTGAACATAAAAAGGAGAAACTTGCACAATCCAATTGTGTGCCAACATAAGAATTGATTCCGTAAAGAATTGTTCTAAAATTGGGCCAATACTAGGTTCTGCTTGAGAATTGACTTCCATAACTAATAATTTACACAAAATAGATAAATGCTCGTTGACCTGAAGAAAATGATAAAAAAGTTAAAAATCCGCAAATTTATTGCGGATGTCCGCAATAAACTTGCGGACAAAAAACTACAGCAAATTTTTTTATTAAAAAACCTTCAAAATTGTATTTTTATCACGTCTAGTTTTATTCAAAAGTCCCTCCAATTTCTTCCAAGTAAACCCAAATTGATTCTCCCATGCAGACGGATCCGAAGCAAAATCCACATTCATCGCCCAACTTTCATCACTCCACTTTTTATTTATTAAATCCTCAACAAAAAAATCGAAAGAATTTTGGGAAGAATTTGAAGGGGTTGTTGGACTAGTAGAATGTTGTTGTTCTTCTTCAACTGAAGATTGGGGGGAAATTGTATGTTGTCCACCATGCCTTTCTCTAGAAGTAAACATTGAACGAAGACGACGCATTTAAATTTAGAAATTCTTAAATAAAAAATAAAATGGACTAGAGGTCGGTAAAAACGCATTCCCGGGATCCCGCGGGATTAATCCCGTAAATCCCGTTCGTCGCTTAAAATACGGGATTTCGGGACAGGATCCCGTAAAATCCCGACGGGATCCTGTCCCGTGCCGACCTCTAATATGGACGAGTTATCTTGAGAAAAAAATTTTTGAGTTGCCATTTGTTGCCGTTTTCGAGTCTGGCTTTTTAAAACTAAATTAGAAGTCTGTTCGGCAATCTCCAAAAATAATAGAAAATGACCCATATGCAATTTAGATATTTTGATTAGAGATTATGATTTTTCGTTTTAAAAAATTACATTTTATCTAATTCACAAAAAGACACAACCGAAAAGGCGCGGGCCAAAAAGGCGCAAGGACAAAACGGCGCACGTCCAAAAAGTCGCAACCCACAGACTGCGCAAAGTGATAGAGTGATCAATTGAGTGAACAACCGTGAATGTGAAACTGATTTTGCTTGGCAAGGATGGAAAAAAGGGGAGGAGAATGATAAGAGTAAAGGAAGAATAGTGGAAAAGTGATTAGTCGACTTAGTTCGTAGTTGGAAAGTAATCAATAGAGAATTAAAGGCAGGCAGAAGCTAAAGGCTCATTCATTAATAATTCCTCGCTAGTGCTTACACATATCCCGGGAAAGTCGGTTTCGTCACCGACCAGCAATATACATTCAAGCATAGAAAGGCCTACCCCCAATTCCGTCGCCAGGCATCGCCTCTTGGCTCGAAAATAAAAAAAATCAAACATAAATTATTTAACTATACATACACACAATTAAACAATTACAACATACATACACATTATTATCACACAATATTAACACAAATCTATTTATTTATTTAATTACAAACTTCATTCTCACAGAATAGAAATACTTTCTTTGTTTCTTTTGTTTACTGGCAGAGGCGCCTTTGATTTTTTACTACAAAAAAATTTAAAATTTTTAATTTAAAAGCTTTGCACTTTTAAAGATTTGACAATTTTTGCGGGCAAGTTTTGCGGATTTTTCCGCTTTTTTGTCTGTCATACATATCCCGCTTAAATCCAAGCCTTGACTTCAAATAAAAAAATAAAGTGCGAGGATGGACTTTACCGAAAAAAATTTTCTATTTCGTTTGTCTCCGACGCAACGAAATTTCGGCCATCCCTGATTCAAATGAGATAACCATCTCAAACCAAAGCCAAAATCCGCAAAACTTGTCCGCAAAAATGTCATATCTTCTAGAGCTCGGCACGGGACGGGACCCCGTACGGGATTTTACGGGATCCCGTCCCGGAATCCCGGGTTTTTCGCGGAAAACGGGATTACCGGGATTCCGGGATTTACGGGATTAATCCCGCGGGATCCCGTCCCGGTCGAATTTTGAAAACCCAATCCCGTTCCGGGATCCCGGGAATTTTTTTCAAATTTGCGGGATTTGTTATTACTCCAGTAAACTGCCTGCAGAGCTGAAAAAGGAAGAAATCTGGCTTCGTGGCCTTCCAAAATTCTCAAAATTTTCGCCTGCGGCGCTGAAAATGGAAGAAATCTTCTGACTTACTCTCAAAAATTCTCAAAATTTTCGCCTGCGGCGCTAGAAAATGAAAAAAGCGGGCTTCTTAGCCTTTCAAAAAAGACTAAAGTTGGCTTCACCTTCCAAAATTCGAAAAATCATCCTGTGTTGGATGATTACGAGTAATAGAAATGGATCTTGGGATTAACAGAAATATAGGGGGATTGTGAGGTGTACGTGGTTTGTGAGGTTTATATCCACTTAAGTTCAATTCCGGAGGATTAAGAGATATATGATGTTGGGGTATTTGAAAATGGATATCATGGGTTTGGGATTAACACAGGATTAAAAAGGATTTGGAGGATAATAGTGGGTATCAGGGATTTATGGATTAAGAGATATATCAGGATCTGTGGATTAAGAGTATTGAGGGATTAGATGAATAATCCCCATATATCCATTCAAATCCAGTTGAGCCATCTAAATCCGCTATATTCGCCTTAACCCACCGTTCTTCAAATCACTCTTTATCACTCCCAATATACCGATATCACCCTAAATCCACCTATAAGCATTCAAATCCTTTTAATCTCTCTTAATCCACTGATATCCCTCTTAATCCTCTGATATATTCATTTGTCCCTTAAATCAATCGAAATCCACCGATATTGTCTTCAAATCCGCCGATATTCAACATATTTATAAATTTTAAAATTTTTTTGTGAAAATCCCGGAATCCCGGCGGGATCCCGGGAAATTTGAAAACGGGATTACCGGGATTCCGGGATTTACGGGATTAATCCCGCGGGATCCCGTCCCGTACAAAATTTTGAAAAAAAAATCCCGTTCCGGGATCCCGGGAATGCGATTTTGCCGACCTCTAATATCTTCCTTAAAAG